GACCTCGATGTTGAGTGTCCAGCCATATGGATTAAATAAAACAAACCTTTAAAGCAAGAAAGGAGTTTGCATTCTTCTTACTTCCTGTGTTTATACGGCCTCTTTTGCCCGGTGGTAACCCTGGGGTCCAGCTGCTTCCCACGCTGAATTGAAAGCAAGGTTGACCCTTAAATTGTTGCTTATGAAGCCTGAAGGCCAAGGGGGGAAAAGAAGACCAGCCTGTGGAATATAACCTAGAGGATAGTAGAATGTAATATATAGAATAGGACAGAAAAGGCAACATGCCCATTAGCTCCTAAGACTGTATGAATCCTGGGTGAGGGATATATATATGCCTTTTTCTTGAGGTTAGAAAGTCTAAATATGCCCTGAGGTATTTTATATACGCTTCGAGGAGAATGCCTGTTAGATAACTGGTCCCCAATCTTTCTGGCACCAGGGACTGGTTTTGTAAGTCAAGGATAAGATAGAGGATAGAGAATAGAATAGAATAGAATAGAATAGAATAGAATAGAATAGAATAGATAGAATAGAATAGAATAGAATAGAAAATAGAATAGAATAGAATAGAATAGAATAGAATAGAATAGAATAGAACAGAACAGAACAGAACGGGACCTTGGAGGTCTTCTAGTCCAGCCCCCTGCTCAGGCAGGAGAACCTATACCATTTCAGATAAATGACTGTCTAGCCTCTTCTTAAAAACCTCCAGCAATGGAGCGCTTACAACTTCTGGTAGCAAGCTGTTCCACTGGTTAATTGTCTTTACCGTTAGGAAGTTTCTCCTTCATTCCAGGTTGCTTCTCTCTTTGGTTAGTTTCCAACCATTGTTTCTTGTCCCGCCTCCAGGTGCTTTGGAAAGTAAGTTGACCCCCTCTTTTTTTGTGGAAACCCCTCAAATACTGGAAGACTGCTATCATGTCACCCCTAATTCTTTTCTTTAGACTAGCCCAGTGATGGCGAATCTTTTCAGCACCGAGTGCCCAAACCGGAATGTGCGTGTACATGCATGTGCGTATGCGTGCACCGGAGCCCTGGAAACTCAAAGCTGGCAGGTGTGCATGTGCGCGCCAGCCACCTGGTCTTCCGGTTTCCCATATGCGCACCGGCCAGCTGGTTTTCAGGTTTCTGGGGCTCCGGCATGCACGAAGATCAGCTGGTGCGCTGGAAACCAGAAGAGCCGCTGGCGACAGCGCGTGTGCTCACAGAGGGGGCTCTGCATGCCACCTCTGTCACGCATGCCATAGGTTCTCCATCACGGGACTAGCCAAACCCAGATCCTGCAGCCGTTCTTCATATGGTTTAATCTCCAGGCCTTTAATCGTTTTAGTTGCTCTTCTCTGAATTTTTTCCCAAGGTCTCAACATCTTTTTTTTTTTTTTTTGCAGTATGGTGGCCAAAATTGGTTGCAGCATTCCAGGTGTGGTCTTACCAGGTGTTTTTTTTTTAATTTTTTTCTAAAGCGGTACTAATACTTCACGTGATCTTGATTCTGTGCCTCTGTAACTACCTGTAACTCAGCCTTCCATCCTTTCTAAGGTGGGTAAATTGAGGACCCGGTGTGTGTGGGCAATAAGATGACTTTGTATAAATATACAAAAGGATGAAGGCTATTGCTTAGCGCATTGTAAGCCGCCCTGAGTCTCCGGAGAAGGGCGGCATATAAATCAAATTAAAAAATAAAATAAAATCCGAAGGGCTCAAGACGATGACTTCGTCTTCAGTAAAGGTGGATAAATCTGAACTGTAAGAAAACAGCCTGACTTAAAACCAACCGGGAAATGTAAATTGTGTAAACTGGAAGGTCCGACTTGAAAAGCTGAAGTGCTGGTATATTTTGACAACTGAACGATCAATACACTCGGCTCTCCTGCTCGTTAGCAGACCTAGCATTGTATTCAGGAAAGGGGAAAAATAAGAAAGAACCCTTTGCCAAATTTCTTTCAAAGCGGCATTCATAAAATCGGAAAACAAAACAAGGAAAGAAAACAAAACCATAAGGACCCTATTATATGCTTGTTTTTCATCCTTCTGACACTCGGGAACTAAACCAAGCCTGAAACTAGTTTTATAAGCATTGGGGTTGCTTCTCTTGGAGGTGGGGGTGGAAAGGCCCAAATTGCTTCCTTGCATCCCTGGCAGATGTTGTTGTTGGTTCATCGGCACAACGCCTCACAACTCCCTTCTTCGGACAGTAAATAAAAATTTGGCTGGGATGGCCCTCTTTCCTGCTGGATTGTGGGCTCTCTTTCTCCTGCAACCCCCCCACCAGCTTTAAGTAACAGTAACAGTAACAGAGTTGGAGAAGACCTTAGAGGTCATCTAGTCCAACCCCCTTAGGGATTCGAACCTCTGACCTTTCTGATCGACAAGCTCAGTGTCTTAGCCACTGAGCCATCTGGTCAGGGTAGGTTTTTACAGAAGTAAAAATAAAAAGTCAAATAAAAAAAATAAAAAGTAAAGTAAGTACTTTATGTCAGTGCTTCCTTAAAGGACATACAGGTGGTCCTCAACAGCAGTTCGTTCAGTGACCGTTCAGAGTTACGGCAGCATTGAAAAAAGTGACTCAGGACCATTTTTCACATTTACGACCATTGTGGCACACACACACCCCTCGGTCACGTGATCAAAATTCAAACGCTTGGTAACCGGTTCATATTTACGACGGTTCACGCAATCCCCTTTTGCAACCGTCTGCCCAACAAAGTCAATGGGGAAAACCCGATTCGCTTAACAACCGTGTGACTAATTTAACAGCTGCAGTGATTCACTTAACAGCTGTGGGAAGAAAGGTCGTAAAATGGGGCAAAATTCACTGAACAAATAGCAACAGACATCTTGGGATCAATTGTGGTTGTATGTCGAGGACTACCGGTATTGAATGGGCCCCCTAAAACAGGAGTCTCCAACCTTGGCAACTTTAAGACCTGTGGACTTCAACTCCCAGAAGTCCACAGGTCTTAAAGTTGCCAAGGTTGGAGACCCCTGCCCTAAAACGATGCCTTTATCTCCCCACGCGAACCTCTGCCGTGCCTCCACTGCCAATTACTGGAGTAGAACAGGTTAAAAGAGCATTTTCCCGCAGCCCACCTGGAGGTCAGCTGCATCAGAATATGCTAAGCAACCCTGCTCCCTTTTCATTCAGGCTCCTGAAGAGGTCATTTTCAAGAGACGCCGAACGGAACAGAAATAGGAAGCGGTCAAATAAATGTCTGACAAATTCCATCTGCCTCTTTTCCATAGACGTAAAATTGACATTTGTTTTCGTTTTGTTTTCGCTATTGATTGCTACGCATTACACAATTATTCTTTTTTGTTGTTGTTGTTAACCTTTCTACACCTGTAGCGTGTTTCATGATATCCAGAGGATTGACATTTGAGGGTAGCTCAGATTGCCTGTATAAATGATTATATAGAAGCATGGCAATTACAGTACTCTAAAATATGGGACTATCAATGGATTTGGGGCAGCAAAAATAGCAATAGCACTTAGTCTTCACAGTGCTTTTACAGCCCTCTCTAAGCGGTTTACAGAGTCGGCATATCACCTCCAACAATCTGGGTCCTCGTTTTACCCACCTCGGAAGGATGGAAGGCTGAGTCAACCTTGAGCCACTCAGAATAGAACTCCTGGCAATGGGCAGAGTTAGGCTGCAATTTTGCATTCAACCACTGGGAAGGGAAGGGAAGGGAAGGGGAAGGAAGGAAGGAAGGAAGCACTGACTAGCAATAGCACTTAGACTTATACACTGCTTCACAGTGTTTTACAGCCCTCTCTAAGCGGTTTACAGAGTCACCATATCTCCTCCCACCTTGGAAGGATGGAAGGCTGCGTCAACCCTGAGTCGGTCAGGATTGAACTGATGGCAGTCAGCAGAGTTAGCCTGCACTACTGCATTCTAACCACTGCGCCACCGTACTTAACAACAGTTCATTTAGTGACCGTTCGAAGTTACAGCGGCACTGAAAAAAGTGACTTAGGACCGTTTTTCATACTTACGACCGTTGCAGCACCTCCCATGATCACGTGACTTGCATTTGGATGCTTGGCAACCGGTTTCCTATTTATGACGGTCACAGTGTTTTACTTAGCAACAGACATTTTGGGCTCAGTTGTGTTCGTAACTCGTGGACTACCTGTATTGTATTCATCGGGCGAATTCATTCAGAATCATACTGACGATTGTCGGGACAAAAACAGTGGTTCTCAACCGGTGGTCCGTAGACCCCTGGGGGCAGGGGCGTAATGGCATCACAGGAAATCCGGGAAGATTTGAAGAAATGTTATGGTTTAAATCTTGAGTTAAGTCTTGGGCATCCGTGGCCAAAAACAGTATTTAAAGGGGGTCTATTGTGAAGGTTGAGAACTACTGGTACAGAACGTTTAATCAAAAATTGCTACTATCCAGTGCTTGTTTCCATATTTTAAGAGTTAGTAGGCTTGTTAAACTAATGTAGCTATATGCAGTTCAAGGTTACCAGTTGCTTATTGCTTGTACTCGAGCAGTCTCTTAATACACGTCAGTCATGTTGCACTACTAGTGATTGTTTCTGTAGAGCTTGTTCAAAAATGCTACTTAACTCAAATTGAAATGTGCCAGAGGTTGTGCAGCTGATGACTGTAGCCCGGAGTTTAAACACTCCCAGAAGTAAATGAGATTGAAATTAGGAGTGAATACTTAAAACCAGGATATAAGTCTGCCTGTGACTCTACAAACATGTTCTGTAAATAGAAATACGAATACGAAAATCTCAAAGGTGCTTTTGCAAAAGGCAGTTGGACTTCCTTGGTTTTCCCCTTGAAAACGTTTCCCTTCACTTCCAAGAAGCTTCTTCAGAACTGGAGAAGCTTCTTGGAAGGGAAGGGAAACATTTCCAAGGGAAAAAAACCAAGGAAGTCCAACTGCCTTTTGGAAAAGCACCTTTGCCATGGCCTGGATGATGGAGAATCTCCAGAGACACTAATATGAAAAATGCCTCTCCATCTCCTTTTGTACCAGAAATGGAGAATCCGATGAGCAGCTCCTCTCCCCCTTCACGTATTCAAGGCGACGATGGCTCAAAGGAGAACACTGATGTTCCATCTGGGTGAGCAACTTATTATCTAACTTTAGACTGATGCATATGTAACATGCTTTATACCATAAACTGTTCTCTTTCTTTCTCTCTCTCTCTCTCTCCCTCTCGTCTCTTTTCCCAACTTGATGAGCACATCGCATACGAAATAAGAATTGTCTTCCAGTTCTCACCGCCTTTACGTTTTTCATGTGCAGTAAAATAAGCATTTCAACTGTAGTGGGATTTGAAAGAGTGCAGAGAAGAGCAGCAAAGAGGATTAGGGGGCTGGAGGCTAAAGCATATGAAGAACGGTTGCTGGAATTGGGTATGTCTAATTTGGTTGAAAGAAAGACTAGGGGGTGACATGATAGCAGTCTTCCCATATCTCAGGGGCTTCTACAAAGACGAGGGGCTCAACCTATTCTCCAAAGCCCCTGAAAGTAGGACCAGAAGCAACGGATCGAAACTCATCAAGGAGAGAAGCAACCTAGAACTAAGGAGAAATTTCCTGACAGAACAATTAACCAGTGGAACAAACTTGCCTCCAGAAGTTGTGGTTGCTCCATCACTGGAGGTTTTTAAGAAGAGACTGGACAGCCACTTGTCTGGAATGGTATGGGATCTCCTGCTTGAGCAGGGGGTTGGACTAGAAGACCTCCAAGGTCCCTTCCAACTCCCTTATTCTGAATTACAGTGGCATTAGCCGAGTTTGGCTATTCTCTGAATGGTTCGTTTTGGCTCAGGCCTAAGATCTTTCTGGATTTGTGGGGAAGGAATTAAAAAAAAAAAAAAAGGATTTGTTTGTCGTGCTTGTCGCCTACCTTTCTCTAACTCTGACCCGATGGAGGGGAAAAAAAAGGGAGAGAACGCCCAAGCCCCGAGCCATGGCAGCTGCAGTGCATACGTTTCCCTGTGAGCTGTTTTCAGACAGACAAATGTGCTGCGCCCAGTGATTTATTACGACGGGCTCAGAACGCCGTGGAACACACTGTGGTGTTTTCTATCACTCCAAGGTTGTTTTGTTTTTAAAAGAAAAATCCTTACTCCCCCCCCACTTCCCCAGTGCAACAGCCAGCCAGCAGTGCTGTGACAATAAATGAAAGCAAAAAACGAGAGCAGTATAGATCAAAGTTAGCATCACAAGCCGAGTTGGAAATGTTGCCTGAAACCTACTCAATAATAAAACACTTTTTTTTTTTTTTTGCCTTCGGTCCTCCTGTGAAGCTTTCAGCCCTTCGTAACATGGAATAGAGACAGGGAGCTTCTGCTCTTCTTACAAACAAAATTTATTTTCCCCCGATAACGTTCCCCCGTTGAGGTCAGAAATGCTTCTTATCCTTCGCAACGAGCAAGGATGCAACTTTTTAGAATTCAGGAGCCCTTATCAGCTGCCCTTCGCCATGCCCGTCATGTTCTCAGTTATGACATTTTGGAGGCCGAGCGGACGGGATAAATTTGTGCCTGAGTAGCTTGTGTTTTGCGGCAATGAGTGTGGGAGTATCTCCAATGATTATCTGAGTCTCTCTCTCTCTCCCTTCCTTCCTTCCTTCCTTCCTTCCTTCCTTCCTTCCTTCCTTCCTTCCTTCCTTCCTTCCTTCCTTCCTTCCAGGGTAAATCATTCAGAAGGATCGTGCTGTGGTGGCAGCGCCTCCCAGTCTGCCAACCATCCAGATTTTGCTGAAGACGTCTTGCAAAGCCAACTGTTGCGCAACGAGTCATTTAATGCAGCTGAAAATAGTGAGCTGAGGACGGAGGAGGAGGTGAGCGGAAACGCGTCTCTGAAAGATTTCCTCCTCCACCTGCCTGTTCTGTCGCCATTCATCTTTTCTTCTTAAAGGAGGGAGGGGGGGTAAATCGATTATTTATATTTTAATTATAGCAATCCTGCTCCACGCAAGGGGTTCGGTAACGGGGCGTCATCCACAAATATAATCCTCCCCTCTCCCCCCCCCTCCCCAGCAGGTTCTGATGATTGGGCTGGAACGGAAGCTGTATTTCAACACAGGGGAACGAAAGCCTTCTGTACAGCTAGTCCTCGACTTACAACGGCCCATTTAGTGACCATTGAAATTACAACAGCACTGACAAAAGGGACTTGGGGCCATTTTTGCAAACTTAGCATTCTCCCCCCCCCCCCATGGTCACGTGATCATAATGCAGACACTCGGCAACTGACTTGTATTTATGACGGTTGCAGCGTCCCGGGGTCACGAGACTCCCCCTTTTTTTGCAACCATTGACAAGCCACTTAACGACCGAGTTACTAACTCGACAACTGCAGCGGTTCACTTAACCATGGCGGCAAGGACAGTTGTAAAATGGGGCGAAACTCAGCTGACAGCTGTCTTTCCTTAGTGATGGAAATTTGGGGCTCTGTTGACAGTCGTAAGTCGAGGACTACCTGCAGTTTATCAAAACATGGTAGATGATAATGTCTTTTTTAAAAAACCAACCAACCAACCAACCAAGCGATCGGTTTTGAATTGTCTCCTCTAACAGCAGAGAGCCAAGAGAGGAAACTGGTCCAAAGGGCGGAAAAGGAAGAAGCCTTTAAGGGACAGCAATGCCCCCAAATCCCCCCTGACCGGCTATGTGAGGTTTATGAACGAGCGGCGGGAGCAGCTTCGCGCCAAGAGACCCGAAGTCCCGTTTCCAGAAATCACCCGGATGTTGGGCAACGAATGGAGCAAACTCCCTCCGGAGGAGAAACGGGTACTGCTCTATTCGCCTTTCCGTCTTGGGGAATGTTTTATGGACGGGCTCCCCAACCTTGGCCCCTTTAAGACTGGTGGACTTCAACTCCCAGAATTCCCCAGCCGGCTGAGTTTCCCCAGCCAGCTGGGGAATTCTGGGAGTTGAAGTCCACAAGTCTTAAAAAGGCCAAGGTTGGGGAGCCCTTTTTTTATGGCATTTGATTACATCCTCACTTGCAACCGCCAAGCTCAGAGATCCTCCAGGAGCCCCACCTTCTCCTTCTCCTTCTCCTCCTCCTCCTCCTCCTCCAACTCCATTCCCTTCTAAGCTGATAAAGTTACCTAGTTGGGCAACGAAACGTCTGCAAGAAAACCACCAAGTTCAGGGAGCACCAAGAACCCCACAATCCCCCCCCCCAAAAGTCTGCAAACCCCATTCCCTTCTAGCACCGATGAGGTTACCTAGGTGGGTAATCAGACGTCGGTAAGAAAACCACCAAGCTCAGAGAGCACCAAGGACCCCACAATTGAAACCCCAGCTACAAATACTCCCTTCTAGGGTAGGATGCTTTCTAGAAGACACCTCCCTCTTGGACCTGTAATATAACTCGGCCCTTTAGCCTTCAGGAGGCAACTATGGAGTGTGACAGGTAGGACTGTGTCTTGGTGCGCAGGGAGTTGTGGGGAAATGGCAAGGCAGGCTGATGGAACGATGCCTCCTTACATTCTTCGGTACAGCTGGCGTCTCGGGCCCAACAGATACAACCGAAAGGACAGATTGAACAGGATGCAGATTGAAAACGCGGGGACAAAGGGATAATTCACCTCCCCTTTTAGAACGGCTGCTCACCATGTAGAGAAAACATCCCGCGTATAATGGGGAGCCTTGCCTCATTCTTCGTTTTGGTCCAAAGGACGAAACCCAAAGGAGGTTGGCCAGGAGCCGGCTGACAGTCTAGCAGGCTTTATTTAGTGAACGTTGTCTGTCTTAAGCTGGCTGTGTGGTTTACGCCTTTGAGCAGGTTCCAGCAGCATTGCTGGCCCCGGGGGGTCCTGAATGGGTCTCCTCAGAAGTAAGGCCTTGACTTCCCAAGGACTTTCTGTTGTGTATATGGGATGTCCTGTTAGCAATTTGCCTTCCTGACTGACTGGCAAAATCAGGAAATAAATCAGTCTGGTTGACAGAGGGACCAAACAGAAGCTGCAGGATAAACACAAAGCATATCACACCACAAATGACAACTCCCAAAAGCCATTTGCAGAACTCGAGTTCCTGCAGCGACATTTGCAAAAATAACAACCAAGCTCAGCGAGCACCGAGGCCCCCTCCGGTCCTGATTTTCACGACCGACAGGACCTCGATACCTCCACAGGCCTCGCTTTTCCCTTTATAGAGGTAGTCCTCAACTTATGACCACGATTGAGCCCAAACATGCATGTTGCCGAGTGAGAAATCGGTTGAGTGAGTTTCGCCCCGTTTTACGACTTTTCCCGCCCTGTTTCTTAAGCGAATCGCTTAATCGGTAGCACAGTTGTGAAGCGAACGCAGCTTCCCCATGGACTTTGTGGGTCAGAAGGTCGCAAAAGGGGGAAATCCACTGCGACCGTCGTAAGTGTGAGTCGGCGGTCAAGCACCTGAATGTAAATCACGTGACCGTGGGGATGCTGCAACTGTCATAAACGTGAAAAATGGTCCCGAGTCCCTTTGTTTTTTTCAGTGCCGTCGTAACTTCGAACGGTCACTAGGCGAACTGTTGTAAATCGAGGACTACCTGTCCTGGATGCCTGTTTCCGTTTTGGCTCCTTTCAACACACTTTGGGAAGGATTTAATATTCAGGCTACACCGTAGCGATATATTGTCGAGAAATGCAGGGGATCATAGGGGATTTTCAGTGCGGCGCAGCTGCCTCCGCTAAAAAGTTGCCTCCATCCATCAAGGACAGACTTGCCGTGTCGTTGACACACAGGTAGAAGCCGAGTCCCTTTGCTTTCCCTGTTCTGCTGCTGTCATCGCTCGTATTTCCCTCATCCCTCACCGGTTTCTAAATCAGGGAGGCTCAGAGGGCAACAGGAAACAAAGTGAAAGAGGAAGGGGAGGGGAGAGGGGCTTTTAAATCCGAGAAAGGGGCCCCATCCTCTCTCTGCACGCTCAGGTCTCTTTTTGAAGTTCTTTGCCCGTTAACAGCTCCCTTTGAAGAGTTTTGCAGCCCGGCTCCAGTCATTAAGGAAAAGTGACAGGCAGCTCCAGGCAAACTTTGATATGATTTCTTTAGAACCCGATTCAAACACATCGCTGATCGGAAAGCTAAACTTTTATGCTTGATCAATCCCATCCAGAGGCGGGATGACAGATTTGCAATTAAACCTGCATCTTCTGCTCTCCATTTATACCAACACTCTTTTATCTATCTATCTATCTATCTATCTATCTATCTATCTATCTATCTATCCATCCATCCATCCATCCATCCATCCATCCATCCATCCATCCATCCATCCATTATATCTATCTACCTCCCTCCCTCTCCATCCATCCATCCATCCACCCATCATCTATATCTCTCTCCCTCTCCCTCTTTCCCAAGATTTCTGTAGTTTACGCCCATAGTAAAGCCAGAGGTGCAGACGCTTCATACCCAGATGGATTTACTCTTGAGTTACTCATGGCCATTCACCGGGAAATTTGTAGGATTATTTTATGCATGCGGGGAAATGTTAGGCACAGCCCACATCCTGAAGCGGAGAGGGTTACAACTGACCAACTACGAACAAAATGCCAAATTCTAGTTTGATATTAACAGGCGGACGCTACCGAGAGGCAACTCGGCTGCTTTTTTAACCCTGCCAGCTCTTGGTATTCAGCTCCGCTTTACATTCTTGGGTGAACCAGAGACGGCGGCTGAATTTCAACTCTCTGGCTTCCTCACCCAGTTGGCCAAGAACAGAGGAGTGATTGTTCTGTCGTTGCAGCGCTACCTTGACGAAGCCGACAGAGATAAGGAGCGCTACATGAAGGAGTTGGAGCAGTACCAGAAGACGGAGGCTTACAAGGTTTTTAGCAGGAAAACCCAGGACAGACAGAAAGGCAAAACACATCGGCAAGGTACGATCTCTAGAAGTAACATGTGGGCTCGTTTTATAGTAACACAGGTGGCCCTCGACTTACAACCACAACGGAGCCCAACGTTTCCGTTGTTGTTGCTAAGCGAGACAGTCGTTGAGTGTTGCTCCATTTTGCGAACTTTCTTGCCACCGTTGTTAAGGGAATCACTGCAGTTATTAAGTTAGTAACTCACTTGTTAAGTGAATCCGGCTTCCCCATGGACTCTGCTGGTCAGAAGATGCAAAAGGGGATCACATGACCCTGGGATACTGCAACGTGTCAGAAGTGGCCAGGAAAGCCTCAAATGGCGATCCCATGATCTTTGGACGCTGTAATCATTGTAAACACATTGTAAATTTACTCCTCGTCTGTCTGTTTCAGAAGGAACACGCCCAGCTACCCATGACCATCAGGTAAATATCTTATTTTTTATGATAACATCTGGAGCTGATTCTTTTTTCATTAAGTGTTTGTCAGGGTTCCAAGTAAACACACCCATAGAAAACAAAACTCTGTGGCAGGTAGATTCCTCAAAGGATAAGTTTATTGGATATGTCATATTGGCACAGGCTGGTGAAAACCGACTCTGAACATTCCCACGGTTTTCACCTAATTAAAAGTAAACGTTTTTCACTTTCCCAAAACAACCCGTCACATGGCCCAATCAGGATACAATCCAGTTGCTAGGTGACATCAGTCCCCTCCTTCCGAACACCTGCAGGAATGTCCTTGGTTCCCAAGAGAAAAGTATTTTGTTTTGACTATAATACCCAAACTATCTCTATTCCTTCCTCCCTATCGCTCAGCTCCAGTGTGTCAGCACTGAAGCCTCAAAATGGCCTCAATCAGGCCAACTTCAGGGTTGAAAGCGTTACTGGAATTAATTGAAGGGACATTGAGGCCCCCTATATTTAACAAGCAAGCCTGCTGAAAATAGAATGAAATATCCTATAGACCAAAGTTACAATAGCCTCAATCCTGTCCGCTGGTAGATCTGCTGGACCAGTTGCGTAAGATTCTGTAAAATCTAATCTCAAACCTTAAAAGAGAAAACAAGAACCTCATTGTTGGGACTGGGTGATGCTAAGCAAAGGAGAGAAACACCTCCCCCTCTCCATTTTGGTATCCAAGTAGCAAGTGGTCCCTTTTCATTTTTTTTTCATTTTTTTTTTTTTTTTGCTTTAATTTATATGCCGCCCTTCTCCGGAGACTCAGGGCGGCTTACAATGTGTTAAGCAATAGCCTTCATACTTTTCTATATTTATACAAAGTCAGCTTATTGCCCCCACAATCTGGGTCCTCATTTCACCTACCTTTGAAAGGATGGAAGGCTGAGTCAACCTTGAGCCTGGTGAGATTTGAACTCGCAGTAATTGCAGGCAGCAGATGTTAATAACAGTGCTTTAGTCCACTGTACTATCAGGCTCTTTTCTACGTGGTCCTTTGCAGTTCTGGATGCTTGGGATCCATTGGGTTGCTGCTGTTCTGACCTAGGCTCCCCGAGAAAGCTTAAATCACATGTTTAGTCCCCAAAAATCCTCTTTTATTTAAACAGCTGTGAATTATGGTCATTCACGGCCCGTAATAATTCACAAACATTCTGTGAAGAGTCCGACAGATGTCTGCCACAGTCTTTCAAGGTAATGCTGATAAGCACCCACCTTTATCTCCCTTGAAACGCTGCCAGAGACCTAATTGCCAATTAGTTTTGCAAGGCCAAACGGAGCACAGAGTCAAATGGAGCTTTGAACCAACCAGAATGAACAAATTGTTTCCTGCAAAGGCTCCTCTTTTAAGTCTTATGGGAGGGGCCAATCATCTCCAAGCCTTACTCCCAAGTTGCCCCTTTTGTCTTAACTGTTCTTGCCTCCTGGCAGCTCTGTACATGTGCGCACTGGGAACAGGCTCCCCCTGTTCTTCTGCCTTGCTGATGTCAGGTTCTGGAGGCTCCGGAGGCAGCACGTACCTCCCAGATGGCCCTTTCTCTGCCTCCAATGCAGAGCCCTCGTCCGAGCCTTCCCCAGACTCCAGGACTGGCCCACGTTCCTCCCCAACCTCCTCAGTGTCTGAATCTGCTGCCAGCTCTGCTGGCTGCTGGCGGACCACAACAGCTGCATTAAGTAACCCACCCTAGGGAATGGGCGGTGGTGATGCCATGCAACCGTGTTATTCCTCTAGAATTTCTCAGCAGCTGGCACTGGGATCACAGTTGCTGAATTTTGTCCTTTCCCCACAGAGTAGCACGGCTAAATGGCTCTTCCCAACAGTATCGTTTTCTGCAAACTTGGTGTGTAGGGGATGAGCAGGCTGAGCCCGAGGGAGGGAAGTGTCAAACGTGTCACTAGTCTCGAGTCCCTTCGCGCCCACAAGAAGTCCAGCCCACCTTGAATTCCGTAGACTCTTATCTACCACCAAACTGCACTATTAGTAATTCAGAGTCTTGTAGACAGTTTAAGCTTGCAATAAACCCTCATACTGTATATATTTGAACTGCCTGGGTTTCTGATTTTCCAGCGCTTGACACTTGACTGACTATAAATCTTATTCTATGGCCTAGCAAGCGCAAAAGAGAATGTCTTTTTAGCGGTAGGCCCATCATCTTTGAACTCCTGGTTCAAGCGTTTAAAAGCTTCTTACTGTTCGCCATTTTACACCAATGTTGCATTTTCTAGAACGTTACTCTAATCCTTTTGATCAGCCTTGGAAGTGCTGGGTGCCCCTTAGAGGCACTTGAATAACTATTTAAAACAGAATCGGGTTTACATTCCTGGTTTGGGAGTGCTTCACTCATAGCAGTCCTAAATCAACCCAGGAGCACTGCAGCCAGCTGTTGGGCCAGATAATAATTTTCACACAGCAAAATGAAAAAGCAGGGTTTTAGGCAACGCATTCAACCATTATTCTTAAGATTTAAGAATCTCGTTTGCCGTTCTCCATTCTGTTAATTCCATTTTTTGGAAAGAAATTTTTTTTTCCAAACAAGTATATGAAACGACTGCACCAAGTGTGGATAGTTGTTCTTGTATCTAGCTAGAATTCATTAACTTAACAGCCGTTCTCCAAAAGCAAATTCGTCTGTTTCCATCGCCAACATAATGTTGGAATACACTTAACTGGAGAAAATATTTTCGTTTCATTATTTTCTTTTTTAAAGGTCAACTGACACTGTCCGGATTGAGAGGCCCTTAGTGCTTGCTGAGCTTGGTTGTTTTCCTGTGGACCTTTCATTACCAAACTAGGTAACATCATCAGTGCTGTAGTTACCTAGTTTGGTAATGAAACATCTGCAAGAAAACAACCGACCTAAGAGAGCACAAGGACCCCACAGTCGTCGTCGTCCTCTTCCTCCTCCTCCTCCTCTCCACAAACTCCATTCCCCTTCTAGCACTGATGATATTACCTAGCTGGGTAATGAAACGACTGCAAGAAGCCCACCAAGCTCAGAGAGCCCCGAGGACCTCTTAATTTCAACCCTGAGCCACAAAAAGCATTCTCCTTTATCAAGGATTCGGGGTAATTCCTGCAATCTCGGAATCGAGGCCCATCCCAGGAACACAACGCAGTTCTTCTCACACCACCAAGTCAGTTGACGTGTCCCCGAATCGCCTCTTTTAAGGACCAGGAAAGGAGCCGTCGCAATCGGGAGTTTCTCGTCTTCATGACACCCCGACATTAAGCCCGAACAAATGCAATACCCTTTTTGCAATAAAAGGGTAATGAGATCTCTGTTGATGTTATCCCCACGAGTGGTTTAAATTGTAGGAGACCCCCCCCCTTCCCCTCCCCCCTGGGAGATTCTTCATATGTTGGCAAAATGTACCCGCTAATGGAAAGGGGCTGACAGTTTTCATTAAGATGCTTCCATTAAGGCTGGCAGTCTTTGCCTGATCTCTGGGACTTAATTGCTTGTAGTGGGGAGGGTGCATACGGGGAACCTCCTAGGAGAAGCAATATTTTGTCCTTGGGGCTCACCCCCCCCACCCCAAATCCCCTTTCATCAATTCTTAAAGAGTTCCTCCTCCTCCTCACCGCTTTTAATGTCAGTTTCCTTTGGGGTCTAATGAAAGCTAGTTTTAATCCGTGTCGTTGCCTTAGGCAAACATTCCCCTCCTGCCCCTTCGGTCCCTGATATGTTCTTTTATAATGAATTTTATCGTGACGCTGCCTCTGAGATGGTTCCTCAAATCGGAATAGGGAGGGGTCATGGCGTTCAGAGGACCAAGTCATTCGTTTCGTTCCTTGGTTTGATGCGGAGAGGTGGTTGGGAGCCATTGCAAAATGAGCCCTACCCCCAAAGGTTTTCCACTCCGTCCCAGGAATTGGGTAGGGAGGGTATGTCTCACTTAAGGAAAAGAAGGACGAGGGGGTGAAGTGATAGCAGGGTTCCACTATCTGAGGGCTCTCACATACCCTTTGGAGACGGCATCCGGTTTTATATTTATTGATATTAAGATTTATTTATTATGATTCATTGCACAGTCAACCAGGTGTCTAGGCTGGATTTAGCATTTTTGTCCACCTATTCCCAAGGACCCAGGAAAGGCAGATGTTCTTGTTGTTGTTGTTGCTTCTTCTTCTTCTCCTTCTTCCTCCTCCTCCTCTTCTCCTTCTCCTTCTCCTTCTCCTTCTCCTTCTCCTTCTCCTTCTCCTCATCTTCTTCTCCTCCTCCTCCTTCCCCTCCTCCTCCTCCTCCTCCTGACAAACTCCATTCCCTTCTAGCACTGATGATTTTACCTAGCTGGGTAATGAAACAACTGCAAGAAAACCACCAAGCTCAGAGACCACAAGGACCCCAGAGTCCTCCTCCTCCTCCTCCTCCTCCTCCTCCTCCTCTACAAGAGCTTTCAAGGGTTGCATGGAAGTTTGTCTCCCTCTTAAAGACCTGCCAGGTGCTTCACCAAACTGGTGAAGAGTGCGAAGCCCCGAGATTGAACTGCCAAAATTCCCTTGTAAGGCCTTAAGCCCTTAGCTTGGCTCCAAGTTATGTTTGATGCTTTGTTCAAAACCTGAGGTGTTCAATCTTAAAAAAATAAATAAAATAAATAAAAAGGCCAGAGTCCTAACCAAACAAAAGACTCGGCCCCTGCTTGATAGATCTCGCTGGCAGACAGGATGCTTTTAGCTGCTTAAAAACCCTGCTTCTTGCCAATCTCTTTCATTCTTGCACAACTGTTTTGACGGCGGTTGTTACAGCAAAGGTAACAGAGGAATTGCCAGGGCCAGCTCTGAAAGCCAAAATTCCTGACCGAAGATCCGAGAATTGGAAAAACAGAAATATTTGGGGTTTCGTCAAGTTATTTTCCTGAACCCTGTGCACATTTTGGCTTGTAATTCAGTCTATAACCTCCTCCCTGATTTAGTTAGGAACTCTGTCCTTTCAGTCTCGCCTTCAACGTTAGGCCACCTTCCCCAAATCTCTGCGTTGGGTGCGTTTGTTTGAATAGGAACTCCAGTTCACTGTGGGGGGCGGTACCTAACGGAAGAGTTTGCGGGAAGGATTTTCTTTGCAGGTGACTGCCTTTGGTGCCTGCGTGTTAGAAGGAAGACTTATAGACTTAGAATGGCTTTATTGTCACTTTGAATCAGAGGTGGGTTTCAGCAGGTTCTGACCAGTTCTGGCGAACTGGTAGCAGAGATTTTGAGTAGTTCGGAGAACCGGTAGTAAAAATTCTGACTGGCCCCGCCCCCATCTATTCTCTGCCTCCCGAGTCCCAGCTGATGGGGAGGAAATGGGGATTTGGCAGTATCCTTCCCCTGCCACGCGCACCAAGCCACACCCACAGAACCGGTAGTAAAAATGTTTGAAACACACCACTGCTTTGAATGTACACTAATCGGCATAGATTAAAATGAAATTTTGTTACATACAGCTCTCAAATGGTCACCACTTCAATACACACTACATAAACATGAAAAAAATATAAATAAGAAAATATGCATATACCCATATACCCACATATATTATATGACACAGAGAAACAACACAGTCTAGTTCGGATGTATAAATGTACATGGCGAGAAAAACAAATCTTGCGAGTTTACCATGCTGATGGCATAACGTGGAACAGGCCCGAAATCCCCTACTTGCTTCCTTATTTAAAAAAGATGTTGAGACTCTAGAAAAAGTGCAGAGAAGAGCAACCAGGATGATTGGGGGACTGGAGGCTAAAACGTACGATGAACGGTTGCAGGAACTGGGTATGTCTAGTCTAGTGAAGAGAAGGACCAGGGGAGACATGAGAGCAGTCTTCCCATATTTGAGGGGCTGCCACAGAGAGGAGGGGGTCAAGCAGTTTTCCAAAGCACCTGAAGGCCAGACAAGGAATAACGGACGGAAACTGAACAAGGAAAGATTCAACCTGGAAATAAGGAGGAATTTTCTGACAGTGAGAACAATCAACCCATGGAACAGACGTTGCCTTCAGAAGTTGTGGGAGCTTCATCACTGGAAGCTTTCAAGAAGAGACTGGACTGCCATCTGTCAGAAATGGTGTAGGGGTCTCCTGCTTGGGCAGGGGGTTGGACTAAATGACCTTCAAGGTCCCTTCCAACTCTGTTAATCTGTAAATTATCATGAAGTCCTTCCTTTGATTAATGCCTAGTCTTCAGAGTTGTTTCATATTGTGAATTTTCAAGACGCAACTTTGTCTGATTGCAGAAGGAACCGGATACAAAGGAGAGGTCAGTGTTCGATATTCCCATATTTACCGAGGAGTTTTTAAACCACAGTAAAGGTGAGCAGAACGAAATAAAAACTCGCATTCTCTTTCTCCTTTCACATTTTGCGTGTTCTCAAAGTTTTGGCATGCGATAGAGCAATGCTATCGATATCTATTCAGGAATATATATATATATATTTATATATATATATAAATATAAATGTTTTCTCAGGTTTTGTTTTCTCAGATTTTCGCGGGTGTTTGTATGTAGGTCTTTGGTTTATAAATATAAATATATATATGTGTGGACACCCCTGGTTTAAAACCTATGATTACTTCATTTTAAAAAAGGAAGACATATTTTTCTGTTGCCTTATTATAGTAAATCTTGCAGCTAATAACAGCTGAATTAAGATAATGCATTTGCCAGAAGTCTTGCAACAGTTGGAGCCAAAACTGGCACCCTCATAGTGTCTCTCTAGAAGAGCTGGGCCAATTCTGAGCTCACACAATAGTTGTGCAGGCCTAGGAAAATGCACTCTTGAATCCAGGAAACACAAGTTCCTTTATGGAATTTATTCACTTATTTCGCTTAAGGCATCTACAGAGGTCATGCAATTCCTTTGTGGAAGTAATGACAGAATAAAATAAGGGTATCCTGATTTGCATGTCTTTAATGTTTGCCATTTTGCCAGAAAAGATGGGCAGCAAAATTACACCAGCATTAATCTACTGTGTGATTTCCCCCCACCCCCAGTTTCCTTAGAAACCCTTTGATCAGAGTTGATAATACGTAACCGTTTGATTAGAACTCCTCCAACACATCTTAGGGGAAAAAAAGCTTCATTTAATCTAATGAAATGCTAAGGGCATGTAGGACCATCTCTGAACATGTTTTATAATAAATTCTTGATTGCTTGCTAAAATTAATTTAAAAGTAATTTTATCCTAAATAGAATTTCAAAAATGACTCATCAGACCCCAAACCCCAAGTCGTCTTCCTCTACCTTTTAAAGACTTTAAAAAGAAACTTCTTTGAAGAATTTGATATAAAGCTTGTCTATCAGGGTGGGGAAAGGTGTCCTGTGGACTTCAACTCCCAGAATTTCTGAGCCAGGAAGTTGAAGCACACAAGTCATAAAGGGCCCATCGTTCCCCACCACTGTTCTAGATCAGGGGTCTCCAACCTTGGCATCTTTAAGCCTGGTGGACTTCAACTCCCAGAATTCCCCAGCCAGCTTTCCCCAGCTCTGGCTGGGGAATTCTGGGAGTTGAAGTCCACCAGGCTTAAAGTTGCCAAGGTTGGAGACCCCTGTTCTAGATGATACCATTGTGGCTATACAACTCGTTTGTATAGCTGGTACAGAATGATGGTAAGAAGAATTTAAGACTGGGTTCCCCAACATTGACAACTTTAAAATGAGTGGACTTCAACTGGCTGGCCGGGGAATTCTGGGAGTTGAAGTCCACCTGCCTTAAAAATGGTCAAGGTTGGGAAACCTGGTTTAAGAAGAAATCGTTGTACTTATTTCATTTGAAACTGTTGGGACTTCTCACTCGCTCTGCAGAATGCATTAAGTAGAAATTACCTTTTGTTTGGAAGCATGCAAATGTGAGTAGATAAATAGGTACCACTTTGGTGGGAAGGTAACATAGAAGCATCTACGGACAAACTGGCTCCCTCGGCCAAGAAACAGATGAATCTTTACCTTCTTAATAATGACATCTCTTAATTCTTTAAATCCCTTTATCTTGTCTTTCTTTGAACCGATCCTATGGCTCCGTGGGCAATCAAGAGACGAGAAATGAGGGGAATGATCTGTGGGCCCAAACCTTTCCCCACTCTGGCCAAATCTTCTGAATTTTAAATAACATGGTTCTCACACTCTTCTCTGTTGTTGTCAGCGCGAGAAGCCGAGCTGCGCCAGCTTCGCAAGTCCAACATGGAGTTTGAGGAAAGGAACGCGGCCCTCCAGAAGCACGTGGAAAGCATGAGGACTGCGGTGGAGAAGCTGGAGGTGGACGTGATCCACGAGCGCAGTCGCAACACGGTGTTGCAACAGCACTTGGAAACCTTACGGCAAGCTCTAGCCAGTAGCTTTGCCGGGGTCCCCTTACCAGGTGAACAATAGCCCTTAGACTTATATACCGCTTCACAGTGCTTTACAGCCCTCTGTAAGCGGTTTACAGAGTCAGCATATTTGCCCCCAACAATCTGGGTCTTCATTTTACCGACCGCAGACGGAAGGAAGGAAGGCTGAGTCAACCTTGAGCCGTGAGAATCGAACTGCTGGCAGTCGGCAGAATTAGCCTGCAATACTGCATTCTAACCACTGTGCCACCACGGCTCTTACATCGGCCTTTAGTAGAAGCACCTCCTCCTCCATGGGGTTATGTCCACCGTCTTTCTTTTCACGCTTGGGTTCGATCTCTTTGATGTTTCAAATTTGAAGTGACCCTTTGAGAATGTTTAGAAATAGTTCTCCAGGTGATGTGTCCTTCCCCCCTTCCCCCGAATGGTTCCGCCAGGTGAAGCTTAGATGCCATCACCCAACGCACGATGGGTCCTAAATGCTTAAAGGGTCAGCTTTGGAACAAAGTGAGCCTCTGGTAGGTTTCTTCTTCCGGGGCCTACATTCAAGGTTTAAACTGCCGGAATGAAGCCACCTCCCTGGCTTTGTCTTTGGCAATCCATAGGAGCTCTCGTAGGCTCTGTCACAAGACGGTTGTCCTAAAAGCGAACACTCTTTTGCCACAGAAGGCAAATAAAATGGCAAGCAGGAAGCCCCTCCCAGCTGTTTTAGTTTCTGAGGTTGCCTCTAGAACCAGGGCTGTCCGACCTTGGCCACTTTTAAGACTTGTGGACTTCAACTCCCATGGCTGGCTGGGGAATTCTTGAGAGTTGAGAGTCCACAAGTCTTAAAAGTCGTCAAGGTTCCTGCTCTAGAATCTGTCGGGCTCCGAGGAAGCGCTGGGAACATGGGTCATGCTTGAGGCCGACGCTTCGCTTTGTAGCACGCTCGCTTACCATCCTGTTTGGTTGTGCTGAACGTTGTCTAAGACGGGTCAGCAACCTTTCGGACCTCAGGGACCACCAAATTCATAATTTTAAGTCTCGCGGACCACTAATATGATCTGCCTAATGACTGGCTGGGTGGGTGTGGCTAGGTGGTCATGTGACTGGGTGGGCGTGGTCAACTCGATGTCATTCGTGTTGAGGGGCACCTCACTGCCCTCTACTCGCCCCTCCCCTCCCAGCCACTCCTCGCCTGCCCGCCCAGGCTCCTTAGGGCTCCAACAGGAAGCAGTTGTTGGAGCTAAGCAGCCACCACGAGAAAGAGTCGGCAAAACAGCTCAGTTCAAATTGGATCTGGCCAAGAAGAAGGCTCAGCAGAAGCACCTCTCTGAGGACTACGAGCATGGGCTTTCCAAGCAGAGGGAAGACCTGCGGGAGTGCAAGGCCAGTTCCAGGCCATGAGGCAGTCCCACTGGAACGAGGCCCTCTGGCTCTTCGCCACCAGCTGCGCTTCCCTCCAGCCTTCAACCCAAAGCCCCACACCAGGAAGTTGAAGCAGACCCCGAGTCAGAATTTCTGCTCCCCTCTGACCCGCACAAAAAGACCCCGAAGGGGGGGAGACTCTCTGCAACAGCACAAACGTTCATTGCACGTATCTGTCCCAGGGGCCGTAGTTTGATTTAGTGCAATAGAAAAAATGCAAACAATTTTTCTGAGGACCACCAAAATTTTCTCGTGGACCACCGGTTGGTGACCGCTGGTCTAAGAAACAAAATTAGAGCGCCCAGGTTTGTATGGGTTGGACTATGGTTGCCCAGTAAAGCCCCATTCTGCTGCTTCTCTACCCTGCAGGTAGCCTCCATTCCTTGGGAAGGCAGTTGCCAAGTGGCTGGTCTTCTGTTTCTGTTTTCCAGGGAGCGGGGAGATCCCCACCTTAGACACTATTGATTCCTACATGAATCGGCTGCACAACCTTATCCTGGCCAACCCACAGGAGAATGAGACCCTTATAGCGACAGTCCGGGAGGTGGTAAACCATCTTGAACGTTAATCACTTGGTGAGTTTCTAGTTACCTGATCAGGACCTCTGGGAATTCAGAGCTGAATGGAACTCTTGCCCCAGACCGTACAAAACCATGTGCAGCTACACCAAACTCTTAGCACTTGTCCACAGATAAACCAATCCTCCCACGGTCTGCTTTCCTTTCAGGAATGTTTATGTCTTTCTGTATTTCAAAGAATGTACATTCTTCAAAACAACTAAAAGCAGAAGCATAGTTGCTTTGTTTCCTTTCCCTTCCCTTCCCTTCCCTTCCCTTCCCTTCCCTTCCCTTCCCTTCCCTTCCCTTCCCTTCCCTTCCTTCCCTTCCCTTCCCTTCCCTTCCCTTCCCTTCCCTTCCCTTCCCTTCCGTTCCCTTCCGTTCCCTTCCCTTCCCCTGCCCTGCCCTGCCCTTTCCTTTCCTCTCCTCTCCTTTTTATCTTCCTTTCCTTTCCTTTCCTTTCCTTTCCTTTCCTTTCCTTTCCTTTCCTTTCCTTTCCTTTCCTTTCCTTTCCTTTCCTTTCCTTTCCTTTCCCTCCCCTCCCCTCTCTTCCCCTCCCCTCCCCTCCCCTCCCCTCCCCCATTTCCCTGTCAATCCATAAGGCTCAATCCTTGCCTTCTCAAATGTGAATTGAGAGTTGGGGGAAAAAAGTAAAAAAAACCCAAAAAACAAATGCCCTTTCAGTTCAGGTCCATCTGCGCTGGAGATGCCAGAGGAGCCCAACCTTTCCGTGCCCGACCTTCGATAATCGCTGCCAAGTGCTGTTAATTGCACGCTCGCCATTCTCCCTCGGCATTGGCGTCAGAGCCCGCTGTCCTTCCAGCGAGCAGCCAGATGGAACAGACAACGGTTCTAAGCCAAGCCCGCTCTCCCCGCAGGGATGCATCAGCCACACTTCTGCTGCCCTTTGTTGAAGGGAAGCAGCTTGTGGATGCGAGCCTGGGATTTTTCCACAGCTGATCGGCCCCCTCCTTTTGACAAAGCATCTCTTTCGGGGATGGTGGCTGCGGCGGTAGCTATTCTGCCCAGAAGCTGCCAAGGCAGACTTGCGGGATTCGTGCCATGACAGAACATGGCAGTTCCGTTTAGACGGGCTCTGGAAGGGCAGCCGAGGCTGGAGGCCAGATGTTTCCCTTCCTGGTTTCTCCTTTTCAACCGAGGCCTGTCCAAGATTTCAGAGGCCCCAAAGGCTCCTAGTCCCCATTTCATTTTCTGATGAGGAATCCTGGGAGAGTTAAGAACATTCCTTGGGGCATCCAAAGACAAGTGTGACTTCCTTCTTGAAAAAGAAAAAATGGTTTCAGCTACTTCTAGAAATGACAACCACAGAAAAGTCCCCGAACAAACTCTTCTCTTGCTTCCTTATTATTTCCCCCCCATCGATGACATGTTCTCACTACCTAAAAATAACCCAAACAAGACTGTTAAGAGTGCTGGTTCCCAATGGGTGGGACTCACAAAGGCGCCTGGTGGCCTCACCTCAGCAGCTTCCTTCAGTGGGAGGTGATACTAAAAGTGAAGGAGAACGGGTTGAGCAGGGTTATCCAACCTTGACAACTTTTTAAGAGTTGTGGACTTCAACTGCCGACTTGAAGAGTTGTGGATTTCAACTCCCAGAATTCCCCAGCCAGCATGGAAATTCTGGGAGTTGAAGTCCACAAGTCTTAAAAGTTGGGAATTGCAGTCCACAGCTCTTAAAGTTAGATTAGATTAGATTAGAATACTTTATTGGCAAAGTGTGATTGGACATAAAGGAATTTGTCTTGGTGCATATGCTCTTGGTGTACATAAAAGAAAAGATACATTCGTCAAGAATCATAAGGTACAATACTTAATGATAGTTGTAGGGAACAAATAAGCAATCATACTAGGAAGCAATATAAATCGTAAGGATACAAGCAACAAAGTTACCGTCATACAGTCATAAGAGGACGGAGATGGGTGGTGGGAACGATGAGAAGGTTTAATAGTAGTGCAGACTTAGTGAATAGTTTGACAGTGTTGAGGGAATTAGTTGTTTAGCAGAGTGATGGCGTTCGGGAAAAAAGCTGTCCTTGTGTCTAGTTGTTCTGGTGTGCAGTGCTTTATAGCATCGTTTTGAGGGTAGGAGTTGAAACAGTTTATGTCCAGGATGCGAGGGGTCTGTAGATATTTTCACAGCCTTCTTTTTGACTCCTGCAGTCTACAGGTCCTCAATGGAAGGCAGGTTGGTAGTAATTGTTTTTTTGTAGTAATTGTTACTTTGGTAGTAATTGTTAAAGTTGTCAAGGTTGGACACCTCTGATCCGGGAGATGGTGCAGGTGATTTCAAAGCAGGTCATGTGGGTTAACAATTCATATCTTCTAGCAAGTGTGACTTCTAGGGCCAATTTATCTCTCAAGGCACAATCTCTCCATGGAGCTTAGTTGAATTGGGCTTAACTCTTCAAAGATACCTTCACAAAACCCCAGCTCCTCTTCTAATCCACCTTTCTCCCCCTCTTCTGTTTTATCTGCAGTTTCTAGGATTTTTTTTCTCTCTTAAAGGGAGAAAGAAGCCTGGAACGAGACCCCTGGTGTGGAACTAAGCCAAGAAATAAAAGGCAAAAATTTGGAGATAAGCTCCAGTTCTTTCCTTAAAGCTTGAGGACTATGTTTTTGAGAAGTCACGATAAGATAATGGCCCAGTTTTTCTGCCCAGTCCTCCATTCCTTATCGTTTATCCACTAGCCATGGACTAAACTGCATTGAACAAACGCAATGGCTACGCTTCGTTCTCATTTGAGTCAACATTGTTGTATTTTTTCATTGCAACGAAAACTAAGCTCCAAAGTGGTGGTGCTCCAAAGGAGAGCATTTTCCCTGCCTCTTTATTCCTTAATTTCATGTCAGTCTTGTCTTGTCCAACACGAAAATCCCTGGGCTTCCCTTGGTGAGAAGAAGACCAACCAGTTTGGAGAGAAGAAGACCGACCAATGCCTTCTTCTGACATTAAAAACACAAGATCTTCATATGCATTGTAGTCCAACTTATTTTTGTTTTGTAGCATGCTTACTTAGTTTGGTGTACGCAGGAGTCTTACTCCAATCTCTCTCTCTCTCAAAACCAGAAAACACGCAAAGAGTCTCATGTATGTGTCTGGGAGGGTGTGTGTGTGTGTGACATTTCTTCCCCTTTTCTGGTAAAATGTGATGATGCTTCAGAAATAAATGATGTGAAAAAGGGGATGTCCATTTCTTTGGTGCTTATTTCCTGACTACCCCGTTTTCCCGAAAATAAGACCCAACTGGAAAATAAGGCCTAGCATGATTGTTCAGGATGCTCGTAATATAAGCCCTACCCCCAAAATAAGCCCCAGTTAAGATCGTCAGAAGACAGATGTGTTTAGTACTGTATTTCCCCGCAAAATAAGACCTAACCGGAAAATAAGCCATAATGTGACTTTTGGAGCAAAAATTAATATAAGACCCGGGCTTATTTGGGGAGAAACATGGTAGCTGAAGAATTCGCTTTTTTCTCTTATAACTATTAAGCAGTTTTGCAGCAGTGAAAGCTGCCCAGCTACAGCCAGGTGTTATACAGGTATAATATACAGGTAAAATGCAAGAGATTATGCCGTGTAGAGATTCCACTTTACGCTCGTGACTTGCTGAGCCTACTTTTATCCACTCCAGCCCTTTGCCAGCCTGATGCCTTCTGGATTTTCTAGAACAGAAGCTTTCAGATTTCCCAGGCTGAAGAGAAAAAGCTGAGAATTAAAATCCAAAACATATAAAGGGCTCCAGATTGGAGAAGTCTCTTAACAAATTGCATCGTTCTGTTTCAATTAGCTGCTTTTGTGTGAGAGCAACTATTGACACTTATTTCAAATCTCCATTTCCAGTTGGTTGTTTTTATTTATAGATGTTTATATAGATGTTAATCCCATTTTTATTACTTTATAAGTAACTCAAAGTGGCAAACATACCTAATACTCCTTCCTTCCTCCTATTTTCCCCACAACAACAAACCCTGGATTGGACTGAGAGAGAAGAGAGAGGGACTGGCCCAAAGTCACCCAGTCCTGACTTTCATGCCTAAAGTGGGACTTGAACTCGTGATCTATTTCCAAATAAAGAAGACGCTCATTTGACCCCCCCACCACAAAACCCAAAACAATGCACTTTTTTTTTTAAAAAAAAGCCAAAGGCACTTCAATTTAATTGCAGTCTGAAAATGTAGACCTTGCCTTCTGGTTTTTAAATTTGGCTTCTCTGAGTTTCAATTCAGAATATATCCAGATATGCTAAAATCATCTTTATAGTAATAATTCACAGGAGATTTCCCTAATCTGCAGGCTGAAGAAAGAAGATCCATCTTTTGTAGCATGGAGACCAAACGTAACCAGAGTCACTTGCCGGCTGTAATGACGCTTGATTTTAAGAAAACGCCGCGATTTCTCCAGAAGTGGTTTTCAAAAAAGAATGAATGTGCTTTCCTAACATTGCCTTCATTAAACACGATTAAGACCAGATTTGTTCTGACCTTAATTTTAATTGCATTTTAATGAGGGTGAATTTTACCCAGCATCACTTTGCCACTTGGAGCCTGCTGTCAGTTTTCAGTACCACTCGGTACCCGGACAACACTGAATTGCAATACGCTCATTTCCTCGTTATCCTTTTTGAATTGAGTTCTGCCAGCATGAGAAGCAACGTGCCTTGTGGATTTTAAAAGCAATAATCATGAGTTTTCAGGGCCAACCGTCCTCAAGATGGCGAGACTTCCCTCGAGGAAGCCTAGATGAGATTCTTCTGCTTGTTTGTCTTTGGGGAATCTGTGCTCCCCGGCTTTGCAACGATCTCTTACAAATATTTGTGCAGAAGCAATTTCAGAATTTCCCCGTTTCTAAGGAGATTCAGGCAGTCAGCTCTAGGAGAAATCCCTTTTTGATTTGTAGAAAATCTACTGCAAGCCTGCAAATCCCTCCTGAGCTAGGCAGACCAATAGATAGTCCTTGACTTGCAACTATTCATTTAGTGACCGTTCAAAAGTTACAACGGCCCTGAAAAAAGGTGACTTTCTCGCAGTTATGACCGTTGCCACATCCCCATGATCACCTGATCAAAATCCAGATGCTTAACATTTCATATTTACGACGGTTGGCAGTATCCCGGGGTCATGTGATCCCCGTTTGCGACCTGACAAGCCAAATTCACTGAACCACTGGCTTAGCAACTTCTCAGCTGCATTAAGATTAAGATTTACTTAATTAAGATTGTTAAGATTCACTTAACAACAGAGGCAAGAAAGGTCATAAAATGGGGGCAAACATAAATCGAGGGCCAGCTGTAGTTCATTTGCTCATTATTAATAAATCCAGCTTTGCAAAGCTTTCCAATTTGACCCTCAAAGTGATCTTTGGAAATTAGAAATTGCGACTCTGGAGAGCCGCCAGGGATTCGAAGGCGGTTGGAGTTGGACGGCCCGGTTAGACAAACGACAAGGAGAATGACACTTCCTCCTTTCCAGCATCCTTCTCCTTTCCCCAAAGTTGGCGCAGAAAACCAGCTGCACCCCTAAACCAGCCCTGAAACCTTCACCCCAAAGGGCAGGAGGCCCGTTTCCAGTTCGCCCGACATGACTAACCTTGACATCAAGCAGCAGATGGTGAGCGGCGTTGACCTCATGAGGAAGAGCAGAAGGCTGGACATGAAAACATCTCCCAGATTTTGTCCTCCTTACCTCGCAGCTGCTGGGCTGAGTCCTTGCTTAATATCCGCCGGAGTCAAAACATCCTAAATTACAGCCTCTGTGGCCAACTGCTTCCCGTTTGCAATTTAGGTGGGTTTTCCTGGAAGGGGGAAAGGAGAGCAGATCCCTTTGCATTTAGTCCTCGAAAGAGCCGGTCGATTTTCTTCAACCCAACGGCCAGGTTTTTGAGAATGATGGATTCCCAACGAAGCACCAAAGGTGTTTTTTTTCCCCCCCAAAAGGCAACGGGACTTACTTTCCTTTTTCCTTTGAAAACGTTTTTGCTTCTCATCCAAGAAGCTTCTTTAATGGATGAAAACCAAAACATTTTCAAGGAAAAAAACCAAGGAAGTCCATTTCCTTTTTTGGGAAAGCACCTTTGGGACAATTAAGACCTGGATGATGGACATTCCCAATGAAGTTGGAAGATGGGAGAATTTCCATGGACGTCCCCAACAAAGTTGGAAGACGGGAGCTTGGGGAAAGCTATTCTTTGTAGCTGCTCGTAGGATAACAGTTGTATCTGCAGGAAGTTTTAGCTGTAGACCACATCTAATCCCGTTTGGCTAAATACCAACTATGGTCGTAAATCGAGGACTAATAATAACAGGAGTTCAATCCAGGGATATTTTATTTTATTTTATTTTATTTTATTTTATTTTATTTTATTTTATTTTATTTTATTATTATTTTATTTTATTTTATTTTATTTTTATTTTTTTGATTTGATTTATATGCTGCCCTTCTCCGGAGACTCAGGGCAGCTTACAATGCATTAAGCAATAGCCTTCATCCTTTTGTATATTTATACAAAGTCAGCTTATTGCCCCCACAATCTGGGTCCTCATTTCACCTACCTTAGAAAGGATGGAAGGCTGAGTCAACCTTGAGCCTATATTTTATTCTGTTCCTTTTTTTTTTTTTTAAAGCATCTCTCTCCAGCAGTTGTGATTCCAGAAGCAGGGAAAATTGCAAAGGAATCACACCCATTTGGGCAAAAAAAAGAAAAAAAAAGAAGAGAAAAGCCATCATTCCTTTGGGATAAGACCCAACAATCGGCTGGCTGACAGTACAGGTAATCCTCAATTTATGACAGTCCATTTAGTGACCGTTCAAAGTTACAACGGCATTGAAAAAGGGGACTTATGTGACGGTTTTTCACAGTTATGACCCACGATCATGGGATCAAAAGTTAGGTGCTTGACATCTGGTTCATACAACAGTGGCTGTGTCCCGGGGGTCCCCTTTTGCAACCTTCTGACAAGCAACAGGGAAACCGGATTCACTTAACAACCGGGTTACTAGCTTTAACGACGGTGGCAAGAGAGCTCGTAAAGTGGAGCCAAATTCACTCAACAAATGCCTCGCTTTTAAGAGCAGAAACGTTAGGCTCCGTTGCGGTCGTAAGTCGAGGACTACCTGTATGAAAGTCCCAGAGCAGGATACACCATTTGGGCATGCTCGCCTCTTGAGTGCATCCGTCAAGAGAACACTGGTGCTGGTGTCATTTCCTTCAATTCAGCGAATGTATCAGGCCGGGGAAAATGTCGTGGGCGAGGAAACCCCCTGGCTGAAGAGTCAAACTTCGCTTTTTGAAATTCCTGCTCGTCTTCCTCCTCCAGATGTTTTAATTGTTCCGTGGGCAATTCTGTTTCAGCCGCAGGAAGTGAGGCTGGCATTTAACGTTGCCCATAGAAGAAATTAAAAACAAAACAAAACACACAGACATACACACACACACACATTTTTGTTGTTTAGGTTCTCACAAGGCAGCGGCTTTGTGCGTCTGCGTCATTGTAGATTTGAGGGACGGGGACAGGAAAGGAAAGACCCCCAAAGTACAATTCCAGAGACTGTACAAGAGAAACAGGCTAATTCTACCCACCCTTTCTGTTGTGTTTCTGAATTTCAGCAATTTTAAAATGCGTGGATTTCAACTCCCAGAATTCCCCAGCCAGCGACGCTGGCTGGGGAATTCTGGGAGTTGAAGTCCACACAAATTATAAAGACCACAAAGTTGAGAAACAAACCCCTTTAAATATTACTTTATTTATTTTATTTTTAAGCATTGTCGTGGCTGATCTCCGCATTCCTGACCTGCTTTTCAGAGGGAGCCTTGGTGCAAATTTGCAGGCTGGAAACTGCTCACGCTGTTAATCCGGCTTGTTTGCTGTTGTACGAGATGTGCAGTGTGTTTATTTCATGTATGTGTCTATATATATATATATATATATTGGGTGAATTCCATACATTCCCCAAATGCTTCCGAGAGGGGAGGGAATGGAACCAACCCTGTGCGCAATGCAAAGGATTTGACAGAGGGCGATTTTCCAGATGTTTAACACAACCCTGGTGGATCTGTCATTTTTGGGGAGAAGCACTGCCATCTAGTGGCCTGTCTTGGGTATGTACTTCAAATTCGGCGTAATCCTAGAGGGGGGAAAAAATTAGCACAACAACTGAACCTTTTTAAATAAAAAAAAAACTTTTTA